CTAGGTGATAGTGTGTCTTCTTTATGTACTCGTACTTATCTGAAATTCTCAAGTTGTTTACGTAGCTTTCACTAATTGAGAATACAAAAGAACACTCAATGTGGTCTGTTCAACACCAAAAGACCTTTTCGTATGTTTATACGGAGTATTTACTCTTCCTTTAAAAGAATATATTGGGACCAGTAATCAATAATGGCACAAGAATTTAAAGCCTTGGTCCATCAAATAATAAATGCAGAAGGAGAATGGCATGAATAATGGGGTACACCGGGAAGGGCAAGAGGGGAAAGTAAAAATTTTAATTTGGAAAGTGTTCATATTTTTGGGACAACCCTAAATGGAAAATGTATCTTACAAAATGGGACGGAGGGAGTATTAGCCATAACCCATATGTATAGAAAACATTTGACGTGCGACACAAGTTATTTTGTATTCCATGTCCTTTGGCCATTATTTCAACTTATGAAATTTAAATTCTTTTTCCCATTTGATTTCAGGAAGACGCTCTTTACCTGTTTTTTGAAACGAAGAACCCCATCACAATGCAAGGGGACATTGGAGTTGCTAAAAGTGTTGATAAAGGAGTGACATGGGAACAGTTGGGCATTGCATTGGATAAGGATTGGCATCTCTCATATCCATATGTCTTTGAATACAATGGGAATGTAAGATCTCAATTTCATAGACTTGTTCCTTCATTAACTTGAGACTCATAGACTCATAGTTATCTATCAGAATTTTTTCCCATGCAACAATTTAGAATGATTAGTTCTTTTATTTTTTAAGTTGTGGGGTGGGGGAAGGCAAGCAAAGCAGTATAGCACATACTTCGTATTAGATAGTGCCATAGTGGATAGACTACTGCATTGTGAAGAGGATTTACTTTTCCTGTCTTCAATACGTGGTAATAACCATGTAGTTCCAGTTCTGTTTTATTTCTAGTATATGAAAACCCCCATAAATCTAAATATATGATTTTTTTAATAGTAATTCATTTTCCTCTGTTTCCAATGTCAAACCAAGCATAAGAACACAACTTCTCTTAGCACTCGCCATCATCCAAACATACCCTTAATGCATGCTCCACTGTATTTTATTTTCTCTATCATTTCTGTCTTCAAATAATGTCATGCATTCCTGCTGCTAACCTCTTTCACTTATTCTCTTGGCAGATATATATGTTGCCCGAGGGTAGTGATAAGGGAGAACTTAACCTGTACCGAGCTGTAGATTTTCCCACAAAGTGGGTGCAGGAGAAGGTACTAATGAAAAAGCCCATCATAGATCCTTCTATAATCTCACATGACGGGAAATACTGGCTGTTTGGTTCAGATCATAGTGGCATTGGGGCCCAAAACAACGGACAACTAGAGATATGGTATAGTACCTCCCCTCTTGGCCCTTGGAGGCCCCACACAAAGAACCCCATTTACAACACAGGCCCAAGCAGGGGAGCCCGGAGTGGAGGAAGACCGTTCATGTATGATGGGAACATATACCGTGTTGGTCAAGACTGTGGTGACACGTACGGAAGGACAGTCCGCATATTCAAAATAGAAAATCTCACAACACATGAGTTCAAAGAAGTTGAGGTTCCATTTGGCATTCAAGAATCTATCAAGGGGATAAATGCCTGGAATGGGGCCCGCAGCCATCACTTTGATGTGAAACGCCTGGGCTCGGGAGAGTGGATTGCCTTTTTGGATGGGGATCGTGTGCATTCAGGTGATGCTACTCACCGGTTTGCTCTCGGCTTTGCTTCTGTTGTCGGTGTTGCAGTAATGCTCATATTCTTGGGTGTTTTACTTGGGGCCGTCAAGTGTGTTGTCCCTTTGACTCGGCATTCACACATGGGAAAGAAGAGTGATTCTTTTTCAACCTGTGAAGAAGAATCAAAGGACCCATTCTCTATGAAATTTTGGTTTTTTTGCTACCAATTGAACCGACTGGGCTCATTTCTACATGCCAAAATAAAACCAAGCACATGTCCAGGAGTTTTGGTTCTTGCCTTGACATTCTTAACCGCGGCTGCTTTGGCGTGTTTAGGCGTCACCCACATCTATGGAGGCAGTGGTGCCCAAGAACCGTACCCTATGAATGATCACTACTCTCAATTTACTCTACTGACCATGACATACGACGCCCGCATGTGGAATTTGAAAATGTACATCAAACACTACTCGAGATGTGCTTCGGTCCGTGAAATCGTCGTTGTGTGGAACAAGGGAAAGCCCCCACTGGTGGGAGACTTCGATTCAGCAGTGCCAGTGAGGATAAGGGTGGAGGAGAAGAACTCATTGAACAACCGGTTCAAAGCCGATCCCTTGATAAAGACGCGAGCCATTCTTGAGCTTGATGATGACATCATGATGACATGTGACGACGTCGAGCGGGGTTTTCTTGTGTGGCGTCAGCATCCGGAGCGGATCGTGGGGTACTACCCTCGCCTAGTGAATGGGGACCCGTTGGAATACAGGGCAGAGAGACATGCTCGGAAGCACAACGGGTATAACATGATACTGACTGGGGCAGCATTCCTTGACGCTGAAATGGCTTTCAAACGATATTGGAGCATGGAGGCTTTGCCAGGACGGGAAATGGTTGACTTGTTTTTTAATTGCGAGGATGTGCTTTTGAACTACTTGTATGCAAACATGAGCTCTTCTCCGAGCACTGTTGAGTATGTGAAACCAGCATGGGCTGTTGACATGTCAAAGTTTTCAGGTGTTGCAATTAGTGGTAACACACAAGCTCACTATCATGTTCGGAGCAAATGCCTCCGTAAATTCTCTGAGATTTACGGGAGCATAACGAACCGAAAATCCAAATTTGGCAGCCGGAAGGATGGCTGGGATGTATAGCGTATATAAAACTTTGTTACTAATTTCTTATTTGTTTATTTTTTGTGGTGGGTTAATTTTTGTGTGCAGAAGTTATGCTTTAGCCTCTTTGTAGACTGAATGATCACTTTACCTCTTATATTTGTTTTTGTACATGGATGAGTGTAGTTAGACTGTAAGATCATGTTTATCTTCAAGGTGAAATGCATACTTGTTCTTAAAACATTTGCCCCGGTATTGTTTTGATTTTAATTTTCTTATTGTCAAATAGGGCTGCACAAGAATAACTCGAACCCGCATAACCCGCCCGACCCAACCCTACCCGACCCTATTTAATCGGGTATTTTATTTTTAAAAATATTCATGGGTTAAATATGTATGAACCCGCACCTAATGGGTAGGGTTGCGGAATTAAAATCTCAAACCCGATAGTACCCGACCCGGCCGAAGTTCATTTTACTATTATTATGCTACAACGTTTTCTTGGATAATTTCAATTTAAGACCAATGTGCTCTATCTAGGACTTTATGATATTAGAATTATTATAATTAAACATTTATCATTTTGACTAGGTGATTATTATATACTTACGTTTCCTTCTAAATGAACTTTCTTTACGGAAAGATGTTTTAATACTACTCTGTATTACCTAATGTTTTTGCTTATAAAAGATACGAGAACTTGTATTTGTTTGTGTGTTTTGGAAATAAGTTAATCGAGTTTTAAATTGGTTACATTAATTTCCCACATAAACTGATGAAAGATGCAACCTGTAGTGATTCCCCCCCCCCAATACCCGACCCTACCCGACCCGTTCATGCATGGTTTACCAACTTATTTTGCGTACCGCGGGTTGGTTAATAGCCAACCCGAATAAATCGGGTAGGCCCAAAAAATATAGCAAACCCGACCCAACCCGCCCGATGTGCAGCCCTATTGTCAAATACGGAGTATTAACTTTAAAAATAAAATACGGAATATTAGAGATGTTTTCACTTCGATTGAAATTTTAAAATTTGAATTACTCTACCAATAATCAATATGGTCCAAGGGTGTTTGGATCTGCCTCTCTTCTGCTCTTTGAGAGATAAGAAACAAACAAATATGGGACTGTTTGGTTGAAATTACAATAAATGCAATGATATTTTAGTTGTTTTTTTTATCATAGGTCGCTTATATCATTAAAATAGCATTCAGCTGGATACAAGGACGTGAAAGGACCACATGTAATCATCCGCTCTTGACCAAGACTTTGAGTTAATCATCCAGTACAAATCAATATAACTCGCTAGACCTAATTTGGGCAATTTAAAGCAAACGACGCTTACCGCAGGCCTTCCTAACCCCAAACCTAATGCAAAAGTTTCAAAGCTGACAAAAAAATAAAAACAAAACATAAAAGTACACCCGTGGAAATAAAACCTAAAGCAGAAAATAAAATAAACTCCAACACTCGAAGTCTCGAACTCTTGATCAAAATCACCAACTCCAACCCTCTTTGAGTAAGAAAAATATAAACGGAGTTGGAAGAAGCAAAAAAAATCCCTCTTTGAGTTTAATGACTCTTTATTTTAATAAATTTGGCTTCATATATATATATATATATATATATATATATATATATATATATATATATATATATATATATATATATATATATATATATATCTTGGATATGCTATGAGAAGTAGTCATCTAGATGACGTAGAACTTTTTCAAGCGGGAGCACTATTGTATATAGACAGATATGGATGTGAGACTAATCTATTCAATGTGTAGACAATTTTTTCAAACAAAAACAATGTATTCAATTTCAGTTTCAAATAATTTACATCTATGTACAAAAGACCTAGAGCCCGTTTGGAACCTTTTTTTTCCGGCTTATCACACTTATCAGTCAGTTTTTTCACCAAACACGTAAATTTTGATTTCACGCGCAGAATTGTGTAATACTCCCTCCGTCCCGTTGGAATGTTCCCGCTTTCCTTTTTTGGATGTCCCAAAAAGAAGTTCTCATTTCCCTAAATGGAAAGTTATTCTACATCAAAACAGTGTCAAACAGTACAAAACAGTGCCAAACAGTGCCAAATAGTGTCCAAACAGTGTCCAAACAGTAAAATTTACCTCATGATAAGTTTATTTCCTTAATATGTGTGTAGGTCAAACCGGGAACATTCCAACGGGACGGAGGGAGTACATAGTATGTAATCTACATCATTTCACTTTATTATACTCAAATCTCAACCACAACTTTTACTTTTTCAAACACTTCATTAATAATCATGACAAGTCAAACTAAGACACATAAAATGGGACACAAGTAGTATATAATTTCGTTAGGGCATCTTCAAAAAGGGAAAAGAACATAAATGAACCACATGAAAATTGGGTAAGCACTTATTACTAACATTGAAATATCACATGAATTTTTGTATGTGTTATTGGGCTATATTCTGCCACCCTTTCTGAAGTACCCTTTACATAAAAGTTCTAATATGTTCTTGAAGACACTTACCAACAGCAAAAATTGTTAAATGGTTCAAAGACAAATCAGCTTTATAGCTACGATTTTGATTGAAATAGCTAATATATTAACCACTTTTACAGTGTGGTATTTAAGCTGAAACAAAAAACATGCTTGGTTAGATAGATAAAGTATGTGAGCCTTAAATCCACTTCCTTTCTCTACTGCTATTTCTTATTGTATTTTCTCTATCCCTTAAAATATCATAGGAATCCGTGTCTCCAAGAAGTTAACAAAGGACACACATGCTTAAGAAATTGAGGACCTAGAGATGACTATCATCCCTGTTTGATGAAATATCCTCTGCCTTGGACTGTGGCAGGCCTGGAATCTCAATTTGTAGCAAAAAAGTGATCTGCTGCTTGCTTATTTGTGTCCTTTATTATTGATGGTTCAGGCATGCAAATCTCCTCAGTATTCTTATCAGCAATTACCATAGCAGCCGGGGTCTTGGACGTAGAGGGAATATCCTCTATTGCCTTGGATGTAGAGAGGATATTCTCGATTGCCAAATGCATTTTCTCCTTTCCCTTTTGCTTAAAAGTATTTTTCTGCATCTGATTACCTGGATCATTAGGTTTAACTGTCCATTTTTCTTTAAGCTCAGAATGTGCCTCAAGCTGCTGCTTAGGACAGTTTTTCTCTGTATGCCCTACGTGTAGGCAATGAGAGCAATAGAAAGGTATATTTTCATAGTAACCCTGTTCGGAAAAACCATACGAGTCACCGTTGATCCACATCTTCTGTGGCATATCCTTTTGTTAAATCCAAATCTACACAGATGTGAGCAATAGATGGTTGTGATAACATAGAAGTAGTCGAGTCTATCTTAATCGGAGAACCAATTAGATTGGCAATATCAAACAACACACGCTTGTCATGTAGATGAATCGGTAACCCTTCAAAAGCCAACCAAACAGGGATGATATGAGACTCGACATTTGGCCGGAAGTCTGGTGACCATTTTGTCACCCGGACCCCTCATCATTCTGCCATTGATCGGCCATGTCTGCCTGTTCCAACAACGCAAATAGTCCTCCATCTCAAATCCAATCAAAATATGCTTCTTTTCCAATAAACCTAACAGGAAAGTGCCCTTAATTCCAATTATTTCAAAAGATTTTCGGATCACTTTCATAGCAAGCCTACCACAGAAGAAATATCCAACTAGGGATCGTTTATGGCATTAGCTAATATCTGGGTGCCACTTTCTGGGAAACCGATAACTAGCATACCCTTAAATCTCGTAGGGGCCTTAGGAGCCAGCGGCGTTTAATTCCGATTCGCCACCACATCTGCATATGATTTGCCAGACCACACGTTACCATCCGGCAGCGGCTTGGCCGCCAAGGGAGACGAGATCATTGTCATTCACAAATTGCCAGAGCTCTCTCTTCCAAATACTCTTCTTTAAAGCTCATTCACCTAAGAAATTGATTCTCTCCAAAAGTTGTTGAAATTATTTAGAAATATGATATAAAATTAGCGATACAAATGTATAGGTGTTCATGCAAAATTCAAACAAAAATCTCATTCAACACCCATGGTTTGTAATGAATTGAGATATAAAAATCATTCATCAAAACCAAATGCTACTTTGTTTACTTTGTTTTTTTGAAGTGGTAATCAAGTGTTGAAAAGTGGCTTCCTATTTTTTTTGCTTTAAATTAAACCTTCTTGTTAACATGATCTTTATTCTGCTTGCACATACTTTACCACTTCTTTTTGAATTCTCCTATACATACCAATTCAAATATCCATGAAGACACCAACAAGCAGCAAAAAGAAATAAATTGTTTAAAGTAGAAGCAACTTCATTTATTTTCACATATCAATGATAATAGGAAACTATCAGTGATGAAAACAGAATATAATCTAACAAATTAGCAACTTGGTTCTCACAGGAATCAGATTCTAATTAATTTCCCACTCTTCTATTAACCATCCTTGAAGGCTTAAACACATGTACTAAACTCATAATAGTGCATTGGGCACAAGTCGCATGTACACGGCTAGTACATACATACACACATACATGAAGTTGCCCCTAATCAACATCCAACTACATCTCCATACCCGGTGTCACTTTAAGAGGAAACATGTGCAGAATTGAAAGCATGCGAGTGAAGGGAGGGATGAGAAACCTGCATTGTGGGCAGGAAGCAACAGGGGGTGTTCTTTTTTTCAATATCCAGTTCAAGATGCAACTTGGGTGGAATATGTGCTTACATGGCAACAGCAATGCAGCCCCTGGCCTCTCCTGGTAATGCTCCGGGTTGTAAAGAATCTCTTCCAGGCATTGGAGGCGAATCAACAACAACTTGGAGGGCACCTCAAAGTGCTCCAAACAAATTGAGCATCTGTCTGCTTCTTCGCCATAATCTAGGTACTTATAGCCATGGGGCACTATAATGGGCAGAGGCATTTGAGACGACGGGTTGTATTTATCCTGCAGCTGCTCAGCTTGTTTCAATATCTTGCACAAATCGCCCCCCAATAAAATTGTGTCCAAGTTTACAATCACGGATATGGAAATCAAGAATAATCTTGAGCATTTATTAGTGTGGTTGATGAGAAGCAGTTCAGCACTGAGCAATTTACGAGCTCGAGGAATGATGGTATCCACTACGAGGAATTTGAGTTGATCTCTGCACACAGCTGGCTCTAGGGCCGGAGAAAGAACTTTATCAGTAATTAAATGGGCGAGTTCTTCTTCCTCCTCTTCTGATCCTCCGCCAAGCATCTTCTCCAGGTCAATATTCGCCAGACCTGCATCCCTCATGTCAGCGTATTCCTCGATCCTGTACAGAAGTTCTTCGTGGCCGCGTTTGACAGAGCGCCACCATGTCTTAACATAGCCAGAATCCCCGGCCACACAAATCCTGACCATAGATCGAGGATCGTCCACTACATCTGTCTCCAATTCCACCGCGCACTCACAATCTGCGAGTGGCACGCCAGACATGATGCTTGATCGCTCTCCCTCTCTACTCACCGCGCTGCAAATGAATGGAAACAAACCGAGAATCTGGTACGGTAAAGATTCAAACAATCTTTACCAGGGACAATTTTAATGAGATTTCTGAAAGGTAAATTGAGATTACCTGTTTGGTACTCCCTCCGTCCCATTTTTGTTGTCCTACTTTCCTTTTTGGGTTGTCCCAAAATGAGTGTTTTGTTTTCTTTTTTGGATGAAATATGGGGTTCTTATCAATTCACTTTATTATACTCAAATCTCAACCACAACTTTTACTTTTCAACCACTTTATTAATAATCGTGCCAAATTGGAAGTGGACAACCATTATAGGACGGAGTAGTATGGTCTATCATTCTGCCATTGATAGACCATGTCTGCCATTGATTCACAGGTCTTTGGATGTTTAGTACTCCCTCCGTAACTTAAAAATCTTCCCACTTTCCTTTTTTGTCCGTAACACAAAAATCTTCCCATTTTTAAATCTTCCCATCATACCCTCAATAATTCTTAAAATAATACACTATTACAACTACTTTTTTTGGATTTATCCTACATTCCACCACATTATTCCACTATTTTCCCATCATACCCTCAATAATTCATATCATCTTTCACTATTCTTAATCTACCTACTTTTGAAATGGGAAGATTCTAAAGTTACGGAGGGAGTATATGCTTATTTATACGCACAATAACAAAGGAAAAGACAAATTTGAAGAAAGGAGTATTAACGACAACCTACGCCTCTTGGTTAGGATTAAGAAAAGTGGAGCAACGGCCTGACCCATATGCTTATTTATTTGTGGAAATAACCCGTTTCAGCTACTTTTGAGCTTTGTTAGTAATATACGGTACGTGAATAATACAATAATACGGACGTTTGTGTATAATACGATACAACTATATAAAATACGGCTTAATATATGTTTCATACGTTCGTGAAATATATAAAGATATGGACGCGTTTTAAACGTTTCACAATTTAAAAATACGGCATATAATATGTGTCTTATATACGAAGTACTTATTTAATGATAGAAATATAGAGTTATTTAACATTTGCACCACAATCTTCAACAATTTAAAATGTACGGAATAGTTTTTTTTTTAGATTTACGTATTTAAATGCATAGGTACAATACGTAATAAAATGACATTGCCTATTTAAGTAGAAATGGAGAGATATTACTAGAAAATAGTTGATATCATTGTTCTAAAAATCGGCCTAGGCGGACCGATTAATCGGCCTAGGCGGCCTAGGCGGCCCTAACCGTAGAGGCCGAATCGGCCTAGTCGGCCAAAAATTCGGCCTAGTCGGCCTAAAAATCGGTCTAGTCGGCCGCCTAGGCGCTAGGCGTCCCTCAACCGCCCGACTAGCGCCTAGCGAGTTTTAGAACAATGGTTGATATTACTTTGACCACGAGTTTAGTGAGCCGCCACAACATTTTTCAATCTCTTTGGAGTCTTGGTATATGGGTGGAGAACAAAAGTAATACAGTAGTAGTACAATAGAAATATCGAAACAGATTACGAATTTAAGAAGCTAATTCATTAAATGTAATGACCGTTAAACAATTAGCGAACATATAAGGCATAATGTTTTTTAAGCAATATAAATAATATTGATTAGCTTGACATGCATTTTGTTTCAGTTGTATCACTCCATTAGGCTTCCGTTTAATGGTGTTTTTTTTTAATAAAATACATATCAATACGTACAGTACGTGTATTATACATTTTATCCTTAAAGAACGTGAGTTTTTCAGAATTTTCTGAAAAATTCATAAACAGAAGTATTATATGTAATAAAATACGTATCAATACGTACGATACGTGCATTATACATTTTATCCTTAAAGTACGTGAATTTTTCAAAAAATTTTGAAAAATTCATAAACGGGAGTATTATACGTGAATTGTACGTTCGAGTATATTATACGCGAATTATACGCGAATAAACTAACAGAGCTTTTGAGTATGCTATTTCATTTATAGCCCCATACTTTATCTTTTTCATCTTTAGACTTTTACATTTTCACTTTTGAACTTCTCTATTTCTATTTTCTAAAATAGTTTCCCCGTTAGAATAAAACTCAACCCTCCGTCTCCAAAACGGAACCTTGGCCTTCTAGCTTCAAACCTCTATCCGACCTCCAAAAATGCCACCGCCGAACTACACTTCTCCGATCCGTTCCGATCCGTCACAGAAACACTCTCATATAGCCGTGGAGCGCGATCCAAGTGATTCTTGGTTACTGGCTTAAAGTTCTCTCACCATCTCACACCAGTGAGCTCGATAACTAGCCTACGCCGCCACTGTCGAAGCCCAACCCACCTGACGATTCTTCGATTGACAGATTCATGAAGCTGTTGGGTAATTTTGAATCTATATCTTTTGTGCCCGAAATTTGTTCATACGATATGTCTTACAAATGTGTACTTCTCGAATTGTCATTAATTCTGAATCAAATCAAGTAAAAAATTTATTGCATTTCCGGACTATTGATTTTTGTTACTAGACGTTTAAACAGATTTGTTTTGGATTATCACGATTTTTAATATATAGGTCGTTTATTAAATTTAGTGCATTGTTTAATTTGTGTAGCTAACACATCTCTTCTGATCGATCTGAGGAAAAAAATTGGTGTTTCAAAATTTACCTTGTGATTCGATGGGAAAATTAGTGGAGAGGCAAGTGATTTGCCAATGTTTAGGAGTTAAGTTTGTTTGTTTTTTTTGACGAAAATGTTTAGGAGTTTATTTGATCAGTGTTAAATCATATGTTGAATATTCAATGTGAGGCTACGATCTATCATTTCATTCATCTGTTTGAGTTTAGTTGATCAGTGTTTGTTCATCCATGAAATTTCTTAAGAGTTGCAATGACTGATGATAGAGATTAAAGTTCGTGCTATCCACATTGCTTCCTAATCTTGCTTTCATGATTGCCTCATTACTGGGTTCAATATGAACTGTTAGATGAATATTAAACAGGATGAATATTAACATACAAGTGATGAGTGTTTATCTTTGAGGAGGCATTCCCATCAACAACTAATGCAAAGGCTGACTGAGAATCATGTGCATGATGCTTACAACAGATGGTCAAGGTACTCATATGCAGTTGAACTATAGGCAAAAACTTGCTTGGTGCCTTTTCTTGTTATTATTTCTTGGCCAGTGCTTTGTTCATGGGGTGGTAGCACCCTCTTTTGTGCTACAATTGTATGATATCACTTATTAAAACAATGATGATAAAGTAGAAATTTGAATTTACATGGTCTATATTAATTCTCCACATCTCTGATTACTTGTTTATTTCTCCATTCAATAATTTTTAGAGGTCTATGACGATATTTTGGAGATATTTTCTTGTATGACATTTTTCTCACCAAAAATATCATTTAACATGAGGAGCCTCTGGTCCTTGATGATGGAAGCACTTGCAGACTAGTCAGTTGATTTCTTCCAAAGTAAGTTCTTCAAAACTATGGTTAATGTTATAATATCAGTAGAACGGTGATTCCACATAATGTTCCTTGCGCTTTTTGACTCAAATTTTCTGGTCAGTTTCTTGTTTTTATGTCCCTGTTTGTACTTTGTACTCGTTGGATATTGATATCTTCATTATTAAGGGAGCGTTTGCAAATGCTTTTGCTTTAAGAAGAACAACTTTTGAAGCGATTTTGGAAAAAGTGTTCCATAGTAAAAGTTGATAGTGTTTGAGAAAAAAGTTGATAGGAGCATTACAAGTTCAATAGTACTTTATTGTAGCTTTATTTTCGGCAGCGAAACTTTGGGAGATGTTAGACCTTGTGATTATAAATATTACTAATGCAGCATATTATAGGTTATTTTTTATAGTAGCTTCAGTTTTAATTTCAAACTTTGGGGAGATTTGTTACGGGAAAAGGGAAACTAATAGTTAATCACTTTTAACATTCTCGTCATAGCAATTGTATTCTTACTTTTTACAGTTATAATAATTGTATACTTCCAAGTGTTGAAGTGAATTGTTATAGAAAATTAGTATGCTACAATTGCTTATTTTATTGTCATTTTATAGTAGTTGTATTTTTATTGCAGATGCATAAAAGGAAAAGAAGCACATGAAGGTGATAATGAGATTAGGAGGGTGAATGAGGAAAAGAAGACAAGAGAGACAAATATGAGAAGTTATGCGTTAAGATGTATAAAAATATATGATAAGAAGCTCAGCCAAATTACATACTTGATAAATGTAATAAATTGAATTATATATTTATTGTGAAAATTTCATATGTTATCTTTTGTTGCTTTTTGTTGCATTATATGTGTTCCTTTTTGTTGCATTGTGTTTCATGTTGTTGCATTGTGTTGCTTATTGTTGTTTATAGTTGAATTTGATTTTAGTTGTTTATTTAGGTTCCTACATATATATCTTTGCTACTTCTTTGGAATAAAAAAATCAAAAATTATATATTTATTGTGATAGTCTCATATGTTATCTTTTGTTTCTTTTTGTTGCATTATATGTGTTTTTTTGTTGCTTATTGTTGTTTATAGTTGAATTTGATTTTAGTTGTGTATTTGGGTTCCCGCTTATATATCTATGCTACTTCTTTGGAATAAAAAATCATTTATAGATATGTAATCACCTAAAATGATAAATTTTGATTTGTGAATATCAACAATAAAACTTGAAGAAACAATAAAAAAAACAAATATTCGAAATTTGCAACAAAATAAACATATAGAAACACAAAGAAACAACATGCAACAAAAAATAACAATAAAATGATAATAAGAATTAAACTTTGTAGCTCCTTACAAATTTATTAAAAATCACACTTTGTAATAATTTCAGTTTTTTTACGTTTTTACTATTTAAGATTTTTTTACATTTGGCATTCGAGTTTGGAATTATTACATTTTCTGAATATTTTAAGAATTTTTACCTTTTTTACTTTCTATTTTTATTTATTTATTTTATATATTTTATGTTTTTTATTTGTTTTTTGGTTTTATTATTCTTTTGGTTTTTAATTTTTTCCCCCATAAACAGTTTTTGTTTTACTTTTATTAAGTTTTGTGATGTGATTTTTTTCATTGTTTCAGCATTATTATAAATTTTTACATTTTGCTTTCTAATTTTGATTTTAAATAATGATAAAAATTTGATTTTAATTAAAAAAAATAAAGCTTTGACTTATACGAATTATTTTAGAATCACAAGAAAAAATAATCTTACTACACCGTACTTTAAGCTTTTATAGATTTTAAAAATTACAGATTTTTATATTTTGTTTTATTGTAATCATTTTTACATTTATAAACAGCTCATAAAATTTTCAAAATTTACAATTTTTCAAATGTTCCCAAATCCCAAATACTCTATATTTTACTTTCTCTCAAATACTCCATATTTTACAATTGAGCAATTTTCCTCCTACTTATTGAACGAACTGATAGGATACGACTTAAGGCTTAAGGGCCGTTAAGTGCCGTTACTGCACTAAGCAAGCTTAAGGCTATTCTTGAAAAGACATTTTTGATTAGTCTATTTTTGAAAGAAACTTTCAAAAGTGAAAAAATTGATATTACTTTTAATTTTTAGTCTATTTGTGAAAAAATACCTATTTATTTCCTGCCATACTTATTTATAATCACTACCTTTTATATTAATATAATAATAATTATTAATTAGTATTAACCATATACGTTTTTAACCATATACCATCTAAAGAATCCTATCCTATCCTATATACGTAAAAGGAGAACCCCTCTCCCAAACTCCTTTCCCGCTTCTCTCCCATCCTCATTTACTTCGTCATTTACTTCATGAACGGTTTCGTACGTTTCATTTCTCTAAACCCGTTCTCATTTAGGAGAAAACTCATTTACCACTCATCATCTTCAGCCCACGTCGCCACACATCACACCAAAACATCGCCGCACAGCACCTCGCCGCACCGCTTCGCCGCACAACACCTCGCCGCACCACATCGCCACAGCCCGCTTACTATTATATTTAACCTCCCTTCAAGCACCTGCTCACCTGCTCACCTCCCCAATCCCCATCCCTAATCGAATATCATCTCCCAGGAGGAGATATTTGCTCTTCTTATAAATAAGGTATTTTTTCCTCCCAATTAAAGCTTCTGCTTGGATAACAAGTCCTTTTTTGTCATCTACCCCTCACCCCTGTACAAATCATTGCAACTCCTTTATTATTTCCAATTGAATAAAACTATAGCAATTACAGTTTCATCTCATAGGTTTGGAAAGGAGATTGTGGATGAAGCTTGGACTTAAGAGCAGC